ACTGCAGCCTTAATCTCCTGGGCTCAAGTGATCCTCCCCTTTAGCTCCCAGAGCAGCTGAGACTACAGGCACGCACCACCATGCCTGGTTAATTTTTTAATTTCTTCGTAGAGATAGGGTCTCACTACATTGCCTAGGCTAGTCTTGAACTCCTGCGCTCAAGCGATCCTCACACTTCAGCCTCTCAAAGTCTTGGAATTACAGGCATGAGCTACCACGCGTGGCTCCACCTGCTAGCTTTATCAGTTGACAAAGTTAATCACTTCAAGTTCCAGTGTCTTTGTCTGTAAAATGAGAACACTAGCATTTACACTTCACTGAGTTGTTGTAAAGTTTAAACTCAATAGTACAGAAAGCGTAAAGTTCCTAGAACAGTGCTCAGTAACTATGGCTTCTCTTCTGTGCCAGTAAAAGATAACTATATGATAATGCTCACCAATGTGGCCAGAATTTCAGTTTCACTGAAATTACAGATAACTCAAAATTTCAGTTTCACTGAAATTACAGATAACCTGTCCACTGTCTAAACACTATTTAAAACACGTGTAGCCAGCCACACCCGCAAACAGGAACTAAAGACTGGAAGTGTATTTCCCAAAAGAAATCACTGAGAGATACAGTTACGACAAAACACTTTAGCACAGGGGAGGTACCTGAGCCAGATGTACAAAATGAAATCTGAGCAGAAACCAGAGGCGACTAATATACCACATGCACTGAGGGGCAAAAACGAAAGCCTACTCTGTTCCTTAATCTCAATTGCCCCAGGAGAATGGGGCCTTGTCCTTCACAGAGGCAGTCTGGGACAGTGGCTAGAAGTATCCATTACGGAGTCAGATAGACCTAGGTCTAAAGTCTGCCTCTTCCACTCTCTCTAGTTCACTGACTTCGGGAGAGTTGCCGAACCTCTCCGATCGGCAATTTGCTCTTGGGAATAATAACGATAAACTCATAAACGTTCTACTTCAGGCTGGGCACAGTGGCTCATGCTTGTAATCCCAGCACTTTGGGAGGCTGAGGCAGGCAGATCACTTGAGGTCAGGAGTTCAAGACCAGCCAGGCCAACATGGGGAAAACCTGTCTCTAAAAAACAAAAACAAACAAACAAACAAACAAAAAAATTACTCGGGTGTGGTCGTGCACACCTGTAATCACCGCTACTCAGGAGCCCGAGGCAAGAGAGTCGTGTGAACCTGGGAGGCAGAGGTTGCAGTGAGCCGAGATCACTCCTCTGCACTCCAGCCTGAGCAACAGAGCTAGACTCCATCTCAAAAAAAAAAAAAAAAAAAAAAAAAAAGTCTACTTTATAAGGTGAAGCAGATATTTCTCTCTCTTTTTGTTTTTCAGAGTTGGGGGTCTCAGTCTGTCACCCAGGCTGAAGTGCAGTGAGTGGCACAACCATAGATCACTGCAGGCTCAAACTCCTGGGCTCAAGCCATCCTCTTGAATAGCTGGGACTACAGGCATGCACCACCACGTCCTGCTGATTTTGTAATGTTTTGTAGAGACGAGGTCTCACTATGTTGCCCAGGCTGGTCTCTAATTCTGGGCTTCAATCAATCCTCCCACCTTGGCCTCCCAAAGTGTTGGGATTACAGGTGCAAGCCACTGCGCCTGGCCTGTGAAGTACATATTTCTGTACCACCTCATATCAGTACTTACACGGCACATAATCAATGACCTGTAAAGAATCAATCATAGCCTAATAATAACAGTAAGTTATATGTGAAGGTTTGCTGCCTAAATGACATTCAGAATCTAGAGTCCTAGATTTCAGTCAATGTGAAAACAAACAACCAAAATACAAAAAAACCCAAGAGCTTCTTCCTGGGCCGTGGCGGGCCAGTTTCCCATTGGTTTATTCCTGTCGTCAGTTGAACCTTCCACCATTCCTTTAAAAATTCCAACCCAGCCAGGAGTCTTGGATGGTCAAAGCCATCCCTACAGGGTGTGAGAGGTGGAGGGTCAAGCCCAGCTCCAAGCTACCTCTCTGGTGACCCTGGGGCTCTGGTCAAGGTTTGGAAAGCCCCTAAACCCTACTGATAAAAGCACTGCCTACAACAAAATGCTTTATTTCCGGAAACTCCTTAAGACCCCTGCTCTCGGGGAAATGAAAGTCTCCTGGCGAAGTTCGCAGAAGTGGCCACATCGAGGATCCATACCTAAAGAGAGCACCATGAACTTCACATGTCAGCTCTCCGTCAGCATCCTCCCAGCCTCAGCAATGGTATTTCTAGCTCTCTTGCAGAGTCTATTATTCTTACATTTCTGCCCTTGCGTATGTGCAAATTCCCAGTGCCTCACTTTTCACATGTGTTCTATGTTGTTCGCTTTCAAAATAAAATATCAGCCGGGAGCAGTGGCTCATGCCTATAATCCCAGTACTTTGGGAGGCTGAGGCAGGCGGATCACCTGAGGTCAGGAGTTCAAAGCCAGCGTGGCCAACATGGTGAAACCCTGTCTGTACTAAAAATAAAAAGAAAAGAAAAGAAAATAAGCCAGGAGTGGTGGCAGGCCCCTGCAATCCCAGCTACTCAGGAGGCTGAAGCAGGAGAATCGCTTGAACCCAGGAGGCGGAGGTTGCAGTGAGCTGAGATTGTGCCGCTGCACTCCAGCCTAGGCAATGAGTGAAACCCTGTCAAATAAATAAATAAATAAATAAAACATCAGTATGAAAGAAAAATTAACTTATCAAAGAAAACAGAGAAGTCCAAGATGAGTAAGAATCAGATCTGAAGATCTAAAAGGAAAAACACATTGATATCAGAGACTATTCTCAATACCCTTAATGTGGATCAGTACACCCATTAGCTGATCTGCTAGTTAAATCAACATTCAATCCTGATTTATTTAAAATATCTCTGTACTGTTATTGAAGTACTTTCCTCCCCTACAAGGGTAATAGAATTTACCAACAGAGTAAATTATTTGTTTTTAAAGTCTAAGTAGGCCAGCTTTGGTGGCTCACACCTGTAATCTCAGCACTTTGGGATGCCAGGACGAGCCCAGGAGTTTGGAACCAGTCCGAGCAACATGGCAAAACCTCATCTTTATAAAAAACAAACAAAAAAAATTAGCCAAGTGTGGTGGTGCACACCTGCAGTCCCAGCTACTCAGGAGGTTGAGGTGGGAGGATCACCTGAGCCCCCTGGGGATGTCGAGGCTACAGTGAGTAATGATCAAGCCATTGCACTCCAACCTGGACAACAGAGCCACATCCTGTCTCAAAATAAATAAATAAGTAAATAAAAAGTCTAAAGGAACCAGTTGTTTTAAAAATCTTAGTTAATGGTCAAAGTATGCCTTAGGCCTGCAAAATGCAATGTAAATAATTAAAAATAGACTTACTTTCAGTTTTATGCAAAATTAAAATTCTACATTACCATCTTCTGATTATGACTTGTGTAAGCGCACTCTGATGAGTTTATGTAGTCTAGTGTACAGGAGAATTAGGTCCAACATTTACTACTGAGAATAGCATGAACTGGCATAAACTCCAGTCTTACTAACCCATCTCATGTGTTATTATCACTCAGTATAAATGACTGTAGAAAAATAATAGAAGATACCAGAATATCCATACATTTACAGAAGCAGTAATTGTAGCCTCCCATTAATGTCACATTCTATCCTTATGCTCTGCTCACATCCTTACCCACAGTATGTTAGAAATATCTTTCAGCAATACTTATACACTGTTAGTGGGAGTCTAAATTAGTTTAACCATTGTGGAAGACAGTGCGGTGATTCCTCAAAGACCTAAAGACAGAAATACCATTTGACCCAGCAATTTCAGTACTGTGTATATACCCAAAGAAATATAAATCATTCTATTATACAGACACATGCATCCGTATGTTCGTTGCAGTACTATTCACAATGGCAAAGACATGAAATCGACCTAAATGTTCATCAGTGATAGAAGAATGGATAAAGAAAATGTGGTATATATACTCCATCGAATACTATGCAACCATGAAAAAGAACAAGATCATGTCCTTTGCAGGGACATGGATGGAGCTGGAGGTCATTATCTTTAGCAAACTAATGCAGGAACAGAAAGCCAAATACCCCATGTTCTCATTTATAAGTGGGAGCTAAATGATGAGAACACACGGACACATAGAGGGGAACAACACACACCAGGGCCTTTCAGAGGGTGAATGGTGGGAGAAGGGAGACGATCGGGAAAAACAACTGATAGATACTAAGCTTAATACCTGGGTGATGAAATAATCTGTATAATAAACCGCCATGACATAAGTTTACCTATGTAACAAACCTGCACTTAAAAGTTAAAAGTTAACAGACAAACAAACAAACGTATCTTTGAAAGCATCACGGGGATTCCCTGCTAAAGAATTCTTTTATGGGCCAGGCATGGTGGCTCACTCCTGTAATCCTAGCACTTTGGGAGGCCGAGGTGGGTGGATCATTTGAAGTCAGGAGTTCGAGACCAGCCTGGCCAACATGGAAACCCCGTCTCTACTAAAAGTACAAAAATTAGCTGGGCATGGTAGTGCATGCCTGGGAAAGAATCTGTACAAACAAACCCCTAATGACACAAGTTAACCTATATAACAAACCTGCGCTTGTACCCCTGAACTTAAAATAAAAGTTAAAACAAACAACAAACAAACAAACGTGTCTTTGAAAGCATCACAGGGATTCCCTGCTAAAGAATTCTTTTATGGGCCAGGCATGGTGGCTCACTCCTGTAATCCTAGCACTTTGGGAGCCTGAGGCAGGCAGATCACTTGAGGTCAGGAGTTCAAGACCAGCCTGACCAACATGGCGAAAACCCATCTCTATTAAAAATACAAAAATAAGCTGGGCGTGGTGGTACGCGACTATAATCCCAGCTACTCAGGAGGCTGAGGCAGGAGAATCACTTGAACCAGGGAGATGGAGGTTGCAGTGAGCCAAGATTGCCCTATTGCACTCCAGCCTAGGTGACAGAACAAAACTCCATATCAAAAAAAAAAAATTATTTTACTTACCATCCTTTAATTTTTCTGTAAATATAACATTTCTTGTGCAGGAGAACTTTCACAGGAACCCAGATCAGTAGAGTCACTAACGCAACATAGGCAATAGCACAGGAGACGATCAGCCAGTAAGGTGTGTTATCAGATCTACCCGTTGCTCCCTGGTAGGCGGTGGCAAACTGTTCCGTGATCACCAGTGTGGGGATGGAGAAAGCGGCAAACTCTAGGAGCTCAAAAACCACAAACTTAATGAGCCTTCCAGAAGCCATCCCGAGGAAAGGCAAGCTGCCAAGGACGTGGGACTCCCTCTTTGACTGTGGGCAGCATACGGACCTACAGATACTGAACTGGGATCAAGTTCCTTGTCCTCGGATCGCTAACCAGTGACTTTTTATTCTTTTATTGACCCTCATATGGTTCAATGATCTCCTAACTTAACAACCGTGGTCTCTTAAAGGAACAGGGCCATTGTGGAAGTGATCACTCAACATATTTGCACATCCATTATTAGAAGTCAAATGAACTTTCGAGCATGCCTCAGAGCATGGGTAAAAGCAGGGTTTTAAAAAGGTGTTTATTGCTAATATTAGCACAAACCATTTGTGTAACAGTCAACTCTTGTTAAGTAAAACTGCTGGAATAATATAATTTTAGAGTTAAAGGGGAATAGATAGAATCCAACTCTCTATTTTCACATAAAAGCAAATTCAGGCAAAGGGAGATACTCAAACCTAAGTCTTCATCTTGGAAAACCACCCCTCCCTTTCAAGTTCTTGAAAAGGGAGTTTGAATTCACTTTATCAACTTTCTAACCAGGATTCTCCCTAATACTTAAGATATTCATTCATTATTGTGCATTAGTTGCCATATAACACAAATTAATGCTATTTTTGTTTTGCTGCCCAGCAAACTGAAATGGTGACATTAGAAGCCTGTTATCAGGATTTACACATTAACAGCTATCTGTGACTGGCTCAAACGCATATCAAATATTTAAAGGATGACAATTGTCTCCATGAATATCCTTCCTTCGAAAAACATACTTAAGACCGGGCACGGTGACTCACGCCTGTAATCCCGCACTTTGGGAGGCCGAAGCGGGCAGATCACCTGAGGTCAGGAGTTCAAGATCAGCCTGGCCAACATGGTGAAATCCTATCTCTACTGAAAAATACAAAAATTAAGGCCAGACACAGTGGCTCACGCCTGTAATCCCAACACTCTGGGAGGCTGAGGCAGGCAGATCACCTGAGGTCAGGAGTTCGAGATCAGCCTGACCAACATGGTGAAACCCCATCTGTACAAAAAAAAAAATAGACAGGTGTGGTGGTGCATGCCTGTAATCCCAGCTACTTGAGAGGCTGAGGCAAGAGAATCACTTCAACCTAGGAGGCTGAGGTTGCAATGAGCCGACATCATGCCACTGCACTCCAGTCTGGGTGACAGAGCAAGACACCTTCTCAAAAAAAAAAAAAAAAAAAGACAAGCATATTTGAGCACTTACAATGAGCATTTTAGTATGTGTTAGGGTATGAAGATGAATGAAGGACAGAAGTTCCTGTTCTGAAAGTGCTTGAGGTCCAATGGAGGAGATAAACTGAGGAACCACAACAAAAATAACCGAGGTCAGAAGACTGTAACCGAAGTGCTGCAGGGACACCGGTGAACTGCACCTTGCTTCGCCTTGGGGTTGTGGGAAGAGGATGGGCACATACGCACGGTCAAGATGGACAGGGGCACTGCGGTGTCGGGGACATTTCAGACACAGCCAAGGAGGCTGCAGTGGTGAGTGAGAATCTGGTGTGGCACAGCAGGAAACAGGAGGAGGCAATGTTAGAAAAATAGTTTGGGGGCCAGGTGGGGTGGCTCCTACCTGTAACCCCAGCACTTTAGGAGGCCAACGTGGGTTGATAGCTCGAGGAGGCCAGGAGTTTGAGACCAGCCTGGACAACATGGTGAAACCTCTTCTCTACAAAAAATACAAAAAATTAGCCAGGCACAGGGTCACATGCCTATGGTCTCAGTGACTCCGGAGGCTGAGGTGGGAGGATTGCTTGAGCCTGGGAGGTTGAAGCTGCAGTGAACTGTGATCGTGCCACAGCACTCCAGCCTGAGCAACAGAGCAAGACCCTACCTCAAAACAACAACAAAATAGGTTGTGGTAAGAATGTCGTGTCCCATTAAGGATTTGCAGGGGGCGGGGGGTGTAGCCAGCAGTGAAAAAGCAAAGTTTTCTGAACACAGCATCCTTTGGTCATTTGGAAAGGAGGCTCGATGCTGATGTGGAGGAAGGACAGAGCAGTGCTACCCTGGAGGCAGGAGCCCAGCTGGGAACCAGAGAGGAGCCTGGCTAGAGGTAAGAGCCCCCCAGCTAACACAAACGGAGCGGGAGTGATGAAGGAAGGTTCACAACAGCAGACATTGAGCCCCGTCCCTTCTGTGGCCTTCCCTGTGCCTGTCACACACACATCAGTGTCACACTGATGCAGACCCATATTTCTCTAGGTTTCTCTCTCTCAAGGTCCCCGGCGGAAGGGGCCCTGGGCTGCTGGAGTTCCAGGGTGCATTGGAGGCTCCTGGTGTGGCTCTCAGGATTGATGCTTTCTGCCCTCCCACTGCCAGACAATTAGTCAGCTGGTTCTTCAAGCCATCTAGTTATTTTATTTGAACTTGGATTTTGAATCCATTGAAGTTTAGCAGAAATTCTTTCAAGCCAAAGAAGAGACTTGGAACAACAGTGATAAAATATGAAAGGATGGAGTGGAGGCCCATCTGAGCAGCAGTTCTGTCGTCAACTACTTCTTTTTTTTTTTTTTTTTTTTGAGGTGGAGCCTCGCTCTGTCACCCAGGCTGGAGTGCAATGATGAGATCTCAGCTCACTGCAACCTCCGCCTCCCGGGTTCAAGCGATTCTCCAGACTCAGCCTCCCAAGTAGCTGGGACTTCAGATGTGTACCACCACGCCTGGCTAAATTTTGTATTTTTAGTAGAGATGGGGTTTTGCTATGTTGCCCAGGCTGGTCTTGAACTCCTGACCTCAGATGATCCATCTGCCTTGGCCTCCCAAAGTGCTGGGATTACAGGTATGAGCCATTGCACCCAGTTGCCAACTACTTCTAATAACTTACCATTGACATCAATGGTCAGTATCATTCCTGATGAAAATGCCTATTTAAATGATACTGGATATGAATTATATTTTAACCTCCTAACACTCCATCTTGAGTCACTAGCGCTCTGTTGAATCATAACATCTGCTACACATTTTGTGTATGAATAGGAATTATTGAGCATTTGAAGAGTTATTGAATAGCTTGACTCTTGAGAAAGAAGTCTCTTGCCTGGGTCTATAATCCCATTTTGAATGCTCAATTTTATTTCCATTTATGAGAATTTAAAACTGACACTAGCTTTCTATTTCTCACCTATAACTTTCCTCTGGTTCATAATCTTCCTTCACCTTTATTTTTTAATTTTTCAAGACAGTGTCTTGCTCTGTCGCCCAGGCTGGAGTGCAGTGGTACGATCTCGGCTCACTGCAACCTCTGTCTTCTGGGTTCAAGGGATTCTCCTACCTCAGTCTCCCTAACCCACCACCCACCCACCACCACACCTGGCTAATTTTTGTATTTTTAGTAGAGACGAGGTTTCACCCTATTGGCCAGGCTGGTCTCAAACTCCTGGCCTCAAGTGATCCACCCACCTCGGCCTCCCAAAGTGCTGGGATTACAGGCATGAGCCACTGCTTCTGGTCACCTTTACCTTTAAAGATGACCCCAAGAGTGTTAGCATTCATGTGACATGACCTGTGACCAGTGTTTTCTACCTCCTGGAATGCTCTAGTCACTGGCTGTGGTTTCTTTAGGAGAAAGCCTGTGATTCTCGCTTTCTGCCCGCCACGAGCCCAACTCCATGTAAAGAAACAGTTGAGTGTGTCCACATTGTCCTTTGAACACTTCCTGCGTGCAGATCCTGGCCGTCCCTGTTAACTTACGCTCTGCTTAGGAATTTAACACAAGTGCCCCGCAAAGACCTGAGGACGTTGTTGGAGAAAGTACACTGGGCAAGTTAGGGCTGGGAAGGGTGACCTACCCACAGTCCATCTCCCTTCTCCAGCCACATCTTCTTGAATGAATGGGTCCTGAGCCATAGCGTGTCCAGCCATCTAAGTGTAGCCTGGCACAAACCAGGTCAATTGGATTCTCACCCTTAGGAATTTGAACTCAGAAACATGGAGAGAATTTGGTAAGTGGAGCAAAAGAAGGTCATGAGTTTGAGTCAGAATTAGAGCAAGCCAAACTCTACGGGCTGGAACCTCCACTCCTGGCATGTTGTCAATTCTATCTGATGAATGAACAAATAGAAGCCAGGCGGTGAGGGAATAGAAGAGTGAGTTGAGCAAGGAACCTGGGAGTGAGAAAGGTAGGACAGATCAACAGGGAGAAGCAATCGTACCAAGAAAGACCAGTCTTTACAGGCGCCTGAGCTGTTGAACCTTCCAGCTCACATGTGTCCTTACAAAAGGTGGTCTTTGTTCTTTGCAAGAGAAAGGGCTTGAGAATAAGACAAAGGAGTGTGTTTGTGAGCAGAGGCCAAATACCACTCAGAAACCCCATGGAAAATCACCAGAACATACAGGAGAAAGGATGGAAAAAACTCAGAGTTAATCAGAGAAGGCTTCTCAGAGGAGGGAAACTTTGTATCGCTCTTTCTGTTGACTCAAAGCGGTAGCTCTATACCGCTACAGCAATTTTCTCTGCATAGTGTAATAATATTTCCTTTGAAAAATTGTTCTGGCTGGGTGCAGTGACTCACACCTACAATCCTAGCATTACAGGAGGCCAAGGTGAGAGGATTGCTTGAGGCCAGGAGTTTGAGACAAGCTCGGGCAACATGGCAAAACCTTGTCTCCACAAAAAAAAAAAAAAAAATTAAAAATTTAGCCAGGCATTGTGGCATGCACCTGTAGTCCCAGCTATTCGGGTGGGAGGATTGCTTGAGCCCAGGAGTTCAAGGCTGCAGTGCACTTTGATTACACCTGTGAACAGCAAATACATTCTAGCCTGCGGTAACAGAACAAAACCCTGCCTCTAAAAATAATAATGATTTTTTTCAAGGAAAAGTAGTTCTAAGAATGTTTATGATGTAGTAAGACAGGGAAGAGGATGGGAGAGAGAAACAAGTTGTAGATACTATGTCTAACAACATGAATGGTACAATCTTTTCGCTTTCAAATATTGTAGTTGTAGGTTTCTACGTAAATTTTAAAATCCAGGAAGATACTTGTCAAACTGTTCACAGTGCTGTCCCTGGAGAATGGGTGAAGTGGGGTGGAGGGAGTTTAATAACAATTTTGTGCTTTTTTTTTTTTTTTTAATCTTTCCTCCACCAGTTTGCTTTCCCTTACTTTACAGAAGCCAAATAATCTGGCGTGAACCCGGGAGGCGGAGCTTGCAGTGAGCTGAGATCACGCCACTTCACTCCAACCTGGGCGAAGAGCGAGACTCCGTCTCAAAAAAAAAAAAAAAAAAAGCCAAATAATCAAACTGCACTTCAATTATTCTTTTAATGGTAGTACTTAAGAGCAGTGAAATAGTCGAGAGGCAAGCAGAAGACAGCACACAGGCTTGAACCACTGTTTTCTGGCTGGGCCTTTGGGTAGAATTGGATTGTCCTCTCCTGCTTTCATAGGAAAAGGCTGAAAAGGGAAGCTTCATCCTTCCACAGACACTTGCTTTCTCTTCTGCTCCTCTGTGCAACCTTTCCTAACTCTCCTTTTCCAAGCAGAATTAAGTCTTCCCTCTTTTCTCAAAACACCTTTTTTTTGAGACAGAGTCTTGCTCTGTCACCCAGGCTGGAGTGGAGTGGTACAATCTTGGCTCACTACAACCTCCGCCTCCTGGGTTCAAGCGATTCTCCTGCCTTGGCCTCCTGAGTAGCTAGGATTATAGACATCTGTCACTATGCCCAGCTAATTTTTATACTTTAGTAGAGATGGGGTTTCGCCATGTTGGCTAGGCTGGTCTTGAACCCCTGACCTCAAGTGAACCACCCACCTTGGCCTCCCAAAGTGCTGGGATTACAGGCATGAGTCACTGTGCCCAGCCTCAAAACATCTTTCAGATGCTTGTAGGGTAGCAC